AAAAATTGTCTTTGATCTTTCAAGCTGTTTCATGGCACTCAGCGGGTGTTGCATGCATCAGTCTAAAAGCACTTGATTAAAATGTGCCCATCCATTAAAAAAAGTGTCTCACTCGGCTCCGGGGGGTGAACAAATGCCTTCTGTAGCGAATCGATGTGTTTTTGTAAGAAAAATATCCATATTTAAAACGTAATCACTTTAATGTAGCTTGCGCTCACTGTTGTACACTGGAAGCAGTTTCGGGGGAATGACGTATGAGGTCGGCGTTGTGCATGCGCCGCTCAGAAGTGACGCACGCGGAAGCGCACATTTCTAAGAATTTTCTTAGAATTTTGTTACTAGGAGCAACTCTTGGCACTAAGATTTTTCATGAATACGGGACCAGGTGTTAACATCCCTGCATTCATTGTGAACAAGATAGTTTACTAGATTATCTTTTACACTGCTGAGTTGTTGACATTCATATTACATTATAGAATATAGTCTTTGCACTAAACGTGCTACAATTTTCTGGGACTTCTAAAGGCTTTGTTATGGAGCATCCTGTTCCCTATTTCCTGTCTCCAGGGATCCCTGATGGGAGTTGAAATTATACAGAAAGAATTCCATACTGAAATACTCCACCAGTATACTATACTAGCAGAGCTCATTAACATTTAAAGGAAAATGCTACAAAACTGCTTGCTCTGAGAAGAGCTGGTTTTGACGGGGTAAAAAAATTTGTTTTTTTACACTACCATTGAGAAATTTTAACCAAACTATGTTACAGACTTTCCATTAAGACCCTAAAGAATCATATCAACTTGTGGAAAATGGGCATCCTATGACCCCTTTAAGACTTCTCTCTATTCCTTAGTAAAAGTTTGTCTCAGCAGCTTTGTGAATAGGTTTTAAGAGAAAACTCTTAGCTAAAAACTTTTACTGCTATTTAGGAGAACTCTTAGTTGTAAGATAAAATGTTTTTGTGAATACGGGCCCTGATTTCCGTTTTATTTATATTTTAAAATGTAATTTATTCCTGTAATGCAATGCTGAATATGCAGCCAGTCTTCAGTGTCACATGATCCTTCAGAAATCATTCTAATATGCTGATTTGGTGCTCAAGAATTGTTTTTTTTTTTTTTTCAGAATTCTTTGATTAATAAAAAGTTCAAAAGAACAGCATTTATTTAAAATAGAATTTTTGTAGCAATGTCTTAACTGTCACTTTTGATTAATTGAATGCATCCTTACTAAATGAAAGTACTAATTTCTTTTTTTTTTTAAACTTAAAATGTATTTATTTATGTAAATAGTATGATGTCATCATCACTGTTGGTTACATTTTAAATGCTGTTGGTAAACATTTTAAAAATGAAAGTCAAAAGGAGATTTTCAGACTTTACTCTTAAATTTCTTTTATAAAGTTTATATAATTTATAACCAAAAAAAGTATGTTCAGCGGTTCAGGCAGATTTTATTTTCAGAAGTTTAATTTTAAGGAAACACCGAATTAGCATGTTTTAAGGAATATTAACACAGCTTTGCCTTGAAAGCACTATAATAAACTCTTAAACTTATCCTAGACCAAGGATTTTCCAGAAATCACAGTTCTCCTCGGCTTAGTTTTCTGAGTTGCCATTACTCCCAGCCAAATAGGTCATACTCTTAGAAAACCACTCTTGTTTCAGTGACCTTTCTTGTTGTGCGTCGTCAAGGCATCGCAGCGTCTAAGCCGAATGACTAAGTAGATGCAAAATAGGCACTTGGTTCAGTAGGGAACTAAAACAATACCTTTTCACTCCGAACACAATCCTCAAGCCACTGAAATTGGCCACGAGAGGAATTTTTCCTTGAGCATTAAACAGTGCTCCCCTCTCTCTTGCCGGCATCTCTGCAGGCGTGCATACGCTTTCATATCAGTGCACGGCGAAGCATCCTGTTTACATCACAAAATGTCTCCATGCCAACGAGAGGCTGGTGAGGGGTGCTGGCTCCTGGCAGTGCCATGTGGGCCTGGCTCGGGCTCGGCTATGTGCATTGTTTCACCGAAGCAGGGATTTCTCTGCCCTGTACTGAGAGGAGAGAGAAAGGGAGGGTGGAAATGGGGCAAGTAAGGAGGCAGGCATATGAGAACATCACAGCAAAGTTGCAGCCGTGCTCTGCAGACTCGCACATTTTTAGCATTCCTGTTTCACATCATAACCCAAAGCAGATATATGGAAAACTTTAGAGCACTAGATGTGGAGAGGACTGAGGCCTGAGGGTGGTCAGGATTTGCATTATGTAGCCAAAAAAAAAAAAGGTAAATAAAATGAATTTTAAATTAAGATTTGCTATTTGTCAATAATAGATTTTACTATATATAATGTGTGTGTGTGTGTGTGTGTGTGTATGTATATGTATATGTATGTATGCATATACACATATACACACCCTTACAATGTATGTAAAACAAGTCACAAAAGTAACATAAAATTGCATAAATACAAAAAAAAAAACAATTTTATATCTATCTATCTATCTATCTCTGTATGTAAAATAAGAAATTGTCACTGCAGTAAGTTGTAAAGTCCATTTACATACACCGTATCTTAAAATGTTATAAAGCACTGTTTTTGCAAAATGTTGGTTGAAATGAGAGCTTATTCTGTTAAATAAAATTCCTTGTGGTCAAAGACATCCTACAGCCATTTTCTTCCATCTAACCATCTAATTTATTGAGTAGAGATCATTCTAGTAGTTGCGGTTCCTCCTTGATTTCAGCCACTATATCGTCTCACTCTGCAGTTTCATAGACGCTATGAAACTAGTGCTAATCCAGCCTGGATTTACTGTGTTTTGGGGTGAGCTCAGCATGACTTTTTCTTAAGCTCATGTGTCTGTGCAAGCTATCTCTTACTGGCATGATGATAATTTAGCTAATCTTTCCTTTCTGCAGTTCCTCCAAGCTAGTGCTGTTACTGAAGCTAAACTGATGTTGTGTGATAACATATGCCCTATGGGGCCAGTGTGGAAGAGTTTGGGCCAGATGATGGAACGGTCACATGACCCACTGGACCAGGGTTGCATTCTAACTGAATACTACATTTTTTGATCATGTGTATTTTTATACCTTGCAGTTGTAAATGTTTGTTAAATATGTATATCAGCAAATAAGGTCACAGTATGTTGCTGGCTAACAGAGATAAGGGTTTTGTTGAAACTGCAAGAATATTGTAGTATACACTGTTATTCAAAAAGGTAGGGTTAGTATTTTTTTAAGAAATGAAACTTTAATTTAGAATAAATGCGGATCCTTTGATCTTTCAAAAGAAAACAAATCCAGAAAGGAAAAGGTCTCACTGTTTCCACAAATGTTAGGCAGCACAACTGTTTTCAACATTGATAATAATTAGAATAATGTTTCTTCAGCACCATATCAGAATATTAGAATGATTTTGAAGTATCATGTCATGTGTGACAATAAAACGTGGAGTAATGGCTGGTGAAAATTCAGCTTTGCATTTATATAAAATAAAGCATTTGCAGTTTTATAAAATAAAATAAAATAATTTTGTGGTTGAGCAAGTACAAATCTTACCTATTAGCCCAACACAACAATTCTCCTTAATGTTGAATTTAGTGTGATGATGCTTTTATATATGTAGTATTTGGATACTTTTTCTGTCATCCAGCTCCTGGATTTCTCACCCATGTATTTATTTCCCAACCTAGAATTCGACTCCACTCACTAGCTTTGTTTTTTGGGGTTTTTTTTGCTTCCTCCTCTTTCGTCTGCTTTATTTCTGCCTATGTCATTATATCTGTGGATGTCATTATATCCGTCTCTTAGGGAAAAATGACTTTGTAGCAATGTGTGTGGACTAAATACAGGCTGGTTAGTCTTCAGAACGAGCTAATAAGAAGCACTGCTTCAGAATATTAAACAGTTGATGTTTGGCAGTCAAATATTTTTATAATGAACTGTACCGTTTCAAACCCTGTCCTTTTAACAGCTTGTCTGTGTATTTGTTTTCAGTTTGAGCAGAGCTAATGGGGAGATCGCACAGTCGGACACAAAGCTAGAGCGCTCAAGACCAGACCGTCTACTTCCCTCGTGTTGGCGACTCCGTACTGTCGTGTTGGATGCAGCTTAACAAGCAGAAGAAGAGAAAGAAAGGATTTCTCTGGCTCCAGTGGACTACTAGATTGTATTCGGAATGATGAAAAAGTGAACTTGAATAGGTCCAGAAACCAAAGAAACACGTGAGACGGACAGATACATTTTGTGGGAGACTTCAGGCGGAAGTAGGCGCTAGCGTTTCCTGCGTGGTGCCGTTGGTCGGGTAAGAAAACCGGTCTCCCTGTAGGATGACCAGCCTTTTCCGACGCAGCAACAGTAATGGAGGGTCTCGGGGTGGCGGGGGCTCGTCTACAGGTGAGCTCAACAACTCCAGGGCCAATCAGCAAGTTCGACGGCTGGAGTTCAACCAGGCCATGGAGGACTTTAAAACCATGTTCCCTAGCATGGACTATGAGGTGATCGAGTGCGTACTGCGCTCCAATAATGGGGCTGTGGATGCCACCATCGACCAACTCCTGCAGATGAGCATTGACGGACAAGGCTCAGATGACAGTTCAGATTCGGATGACAGCATCCCACCAGAGGTCAGTGTCTTTTAAAGCATCTATTGTAACCCATATTGCCTATATTATCACATTTTTTCAGTGGAAGACAAAAAGTGACATTTTAATATATATATATATATATATATATATTTAAAAAAAAGTGGTCCATACGGCTTAAGCTCTATATTACTGTTTATTTTATAAGTCTCCTGAAGTCATACAATAATTTTTGCATCAGAAACAGACTGAAATTGAGGCTAAGTTTTATTGCACTCTCTTGGGGTGTGATAATCAATAGGTTTCTTACCCACAGTCCTCTTACACCTGACTGCTCCGATAAGAAACTGTGTCAGTATTAGTCCCCGAGATGGATCTGAGGCACATTACAGTCTGTCTGTGTCTCTGTAACCGTCTGCTTCATGGCCCAGTGGAGATGCTCTGCCATTAGACTTCGATGCGATCCTAAGTGAGGCATAAACTGCAGTGCATTTTGTTTATATGTACTGCCGTGATTCTCTGCTTTTAAGGACATTCCCCACTGGTGTATTTTTTTCTCTTGCATTATTTATAATCTCGTGTTTAGATGGGGATGTGTTGAAACAGTATGTACTCTACTGCATATGCTGTTGGTATGAAAATCACTGCAAATATTGACCTAAGGTACAATAAAAATAATTGATAACTGATACCAGTCTAATATATAGCCTACATTTAATGACAGTGATTTAATTTTTAATTGAATTTTCTGTTTAACTGAATATTTAATTTAATTCAAATATTAACCAGTTAATTAAAACAGTGGTTTTTAATTAAAGACATTACATTGTCATTGTTATATTTTTCATTTTAATATAAATTTGAATATCTTAAAACAATATGTACACATGCTTTACTGCATATGCAGTTTGTATGAAAATCAAAACAAATATTAACCAATTTAAAAAAAACAATAAAAAATGTACAATTATTATTTTATTTACAACTAAACAATCAAATTACAAGAATGGCTTTCAAGTAAAGACTTTTTTTTTTCTTTTTGTTGATTTCATTTATAAGTTTTATTTTAATATCAGCTTGGATGTGTTGGCTGTGCTGTTTATGCCATTTATATGAAAATCACATCAATCATTGATCTGAGATACAAAAATAAAGAAAAAAAATCCATACAATTATGGATACAGAAGATCCATAATTATAATTTAGATTTGTCATGATACCAGAATTTCACTAGCTAATGCTTATAGCATATATCTGAATTATGAACAAATTAAATTAAAGCAATGTCTCGTAGCTTTCAAGCAAAGATTAGTCTAGTTTTATGTAATTATCAACTTACCACGAAACCATTATTTTTGACATCCTTCTGCCATTAATGGTTTTAGTAGCTGGCCACTACTAAATAAATGAATGGATCTGTGCAGTGTAATTTGGTATTTATTTCCGCGATAAAAGTTTCAAGTTGCTGCTTATTGCATTTGTTCTCTTTTATCAGATTCTTGAGCGGACCCTCGAGCCAGATAGCTCAGATGAAGAGCCGCCCCCTGTCTACTCACCACCAACATATGACATGCACATATATGATAGGAAATACCCAGATGCTCCTCCTGTTCCTCCACCCAGGTTATAAATAGCTCTTTGATGTTCTCTACTTATCATTCTTTCCGATTTCCACAAAAAAGGAGTTTGAGAGCTGTTTTAAACGAATTACTGAAACATCAGTCTTGGAAGCATGTAATGGGGTCATCATGGGTCTCAGGCCCCTTGTTCATTTTAATTACAGTTCTCTAAATGAACACCCCCTGGTGTTCATTAACCAAACTGCAGTTCTTGTTGATCCTTGTGTGTGTGGTTTAATAAACCATATGCATGTGATTCCATTTATCCACGGTTCGTAATACCCATGAATTCACAAACATTAAAAAGGTTATACACATCTGTAATTGAATTTATGTGTCGTCTGAAATCTGATCTGTAATTAAATTATAATTCTGATGTGAGTGTTGTCATTGAAACAAGTGTCAGTGACACTGGCCTCTGTTATCTTTCAGATTTGAGGCCCAACCTCCCCCTGGACACAGACAAGTGCAAGGTTACAAAAACTGGAACCCACCATTACTTGGCAATCTGCCTGACGACTTCCTGCGAATCCTGCCCCAACAGTTGGACAGTATACAGGTGAGCATTTATCATGTGATGCAATAATACTTCAAATAAGTAAGATTGCACTTTTTCTTTTATTTATTTATTTGTTTGTTTTAGATATTAAGTAATTCTTTTGAGAAATTTTTTTGAAATTAAGACTTTTATTCAGCAAGGATGTATTAAATTGATCAAAAGTGACCACATTTATAGTGTTACAGAATATTTCTATTTCAAATATGTTCTGTTATTTTGAACTGTCAATCCTGAAAAAAAAGTCACGGTTTCTAAAAAAAAAATTATAATAATTTAGCAGCAACTTTTTTCAACATTATTACTGTTTTTACTGTATTTTGATCGAAGAAATTAAGCCTTGGCGAGCATAAGAGACTTCTTTCAAAAATGTTTAAAAAAAATCTTACTGATCCCAACCTTTTTAAGTGGTGTATCTCATAGACTTGTCTAGAGTGTCACATTGCCTGTACCACCTTTACACTTAAGGGTTAAAAAGGGTCTGTATTCTCAGTTATCTATCTCAAACTCTGAGACCACGTGGCCTCTGGACTTGATGTCAAAAACTTGAATTGCTTGAATTTTGGCCTTGATTTTGCTCTAGCTCTTTTTTTCTTTATCAGTGATATTAAAGATCCATTAATAGTTCAGTGAGTTCCAGGAGTTTGATCATTAAAACATGCTAATGCAATACAGAAGTGCAGCTGGCAGGCCAGTGTACAGTTGTCTTTAAGCTCTTAAGCTAAGCTTTGTTTAAGCTTTCAGAAAGCCAGATCATGCTTTCTGAATGACTAAATGAACTATAATGGCATCCTTGTTCTATTATACAATCACAACTATCCTGCATATGATGATCATTCATACATAAGGCATTGTATCGGTATTTTAAGGCAACATGACATTTATCATGTTATTAAGGTTCTCACTTCAACAGTGAGGTTTTTTTAGTAGAACCAATCTTTTCTCAACATGTATAGATCATATTTCATCTCAAACTTAAATGGAAATAGAAAAATAATAAAAACAAAGCCTGTTTTAAGCATATTTCCATCCCACTAACATAATGTGAACAGTTCTCTTCTACATTACCATAATGGGGAAAAAAGATGAAATTAGTATAGTATACTATAGATAGTATTCCATAGTATATAGTATTTTATAGTATTCATTAAACAAAATGATATAAAATGACTTTTATGGTAGTAATAAAACCGAGAATCAGAAATATAGTAATGCAGATTTTGTTGGAAAACACTTAATTTATGATGATAATTGAAACAAAAAAAATCAGAAGAGTTCAAAAATAGGCTTCATCTACTATATGCAAAATCATTTTTATTTGGATTTGGAGTTGAAATATTCTTGAAATATTCATTCAGATATTTATATAAAAATAATTTAAATGTATATATTAAAATATTTTGTGTATGATTGGATGAAACTGTTAGTTGGAGAACTGGGGGAAAAAAAAAAAAAAACTAAATTAACCTCATTGCAGCAGACAGTTTTCTTTAATGATTTACTGTTCATATTTGAGATGCTGACTATAGGGAACTGTGTCTGGTTTTTAAAGTTTACTTTAAAAACTAGCTTTTGGGTTTTTCATGAGAATAATTCTAATTTTTATAATATATCCCTCTACCTTTCAATATTCTGCAGGGCTCTCAGAGTAGCATCTCCAAGCCCTCTTCCTCCTCCTCATCAGTACCCCAGAAGGTCCCCACTGTGGCGGCCGCCACAGGAACAGGCGGCACTTCAGAGCAGGAACGCAAACTGAAGCAATATTTAGAGGATGAGCGTATTGCACTCTTCCTGCAGAATGAGGAGTTCATGAAGGAGCTGCAAAGGAACCGAGAGTTCCTCATTGCACTGGAAAGAGGTAGGAAGACACTCCCCCACACGTTAAACGGGACAATGAGCAGTTTCTGGCATACTCCACTTCCCCTCCTTTCACAGTTCCACCTACACAAATCCTGAAGAGTCAATTCTTATGCTAATTTACTGTGAACATTGACGCTGACTGTTGCGGTTTCTCTCCAGGGCCATTCATTAACAGTGTCGGTTTCTCACAGCGAGATTTTGTTATGATTTGTCATACACATTTTGTGCTTTTACACTTGAATGCTTCTCGTTGGACGATCTCATATCCTCGTTGAATGTTGAGGCCTTGTTTTCCTTCCATAACACCTGCCTTCTGTGTTGTAGATCGATTGAAATACGAGTCAAAGAAATCCAAATCCAGTCATTCATCAGCTAGCATGGAGAACTCCACAGGTAGAGTTGTGTCAGTGCATGTTTGTGTGTATGTGAGCATGTACGTCACTCTCTTGTCTGTGTGCATATGCATAATGTTCTCTTTTCAAAACTGCCAAGCCTCACTATTTAACCCTGTAAAGCCTGACATATAATGTTTTTTGTTAAGTATAATATTTGTTACATCAGGCTTTTATGGCTTATATAGTATGACATAGGAGAATATAGAGCTCATACTGAAGGGGAATAAAACATCAGTTTTCTGAGCAAAAATATAAAACTTGGTGCAAATGCTGATATTTGTATAGTCAGAAAGTCCTGAAAATTTCATATTCATGAGATCAATGAGATCTTAATAACATTATAGCAGACAACTTACATAAAATGCAAATAAATATCAGTCATCACTATATATTTTCTAATAATATAGTAAGATGATATTTAAATGCTTAGTATTATGATCAGAAGTAGTTTTGTAATGCAATGCAATGCAATACAGTGGTGTTTGACAAAACCCTGTTGTATCACATTTTAACATGATTTTTAAAAAGGATCAATGGATAATCAAACCTAAGTAAGTGTCATTTTAAAATGCTAACAATATAAAAGTTATTCATACATTTACTTCACAGCAAAAAGACATGCGTACCAGGACCTGAAGGGAAACTTCCGGGCCTTTTACCTTTTACTTGCCAAAAAAGTGTAATATCAATCAGGCATATAGTACATTGTGTGCAACAGGTTTTTCATCAGTTTTGATCATGTTGATAATTCAGAGGCCTGTGATACAGTAGGCTTTCTAATGGTAGAAAGTTTTGATATACCTGTTTAAAATATAAAATTAACATGTAACCCATTTTGCAACTTTTCGTACTGTAGACATCAAGATGCTTTACTTTTTTCCCCGAAACACAGGTGACCACTATGCTTCCGGATCTGTAGAGGCATGTACAGCAGTCTCCGATGACGCTCTGTTTAGAGACAAGCTAAAGCACATGGGGAAATGTAAGGGTCTTGCCTAAAACAGCCCAGTTCACTGGAAGATAATTGCATATTCGGGAGTTTACTTACGGATTTTACAGGACATTAACATTTCTGTTGCATTCTCATCTGCAGCAACCAGGAAGAAGCTGTTTGAAATTGCCAGAGGGTTCTCAGAGAAGACGAAGCGGAGGAAGTCTAAAAGAAGAACGCTGCTACGGCATCATTCGTATCTTTCAAAACGTGTCAGATAAACATTAGCCTAATTCAGTACAGTATAAGTAACAAGTAATCTGAATATTTTTAGGGCAAGTATGAAATAAAAATTAAGACACAGATGAGGAAGCTAAAGGAATGTGAAATATTTAGAGATGTAGGTTTAGTTGCGATGCTGTGTTTTTACTGTTAAACTCAGTGGCTCCCCTGTTTTGTGTTCAGAAGGCTGTGAATTCCCTAGCAAATGTTATTTATGATGCTTGGCACAGTAACTTCGATTCAGTTCAGTTGAGTAAATTTAGTGTCGAATGTTTACTTTGACTGCACTTTCTCAGATTGGGCACAGCCACCTCCACTGCCAACCTCCTAGACGATGTGGAAGGAAACCCATGTGGTAAGACTTTTTCAAATTTTCCAAGCCATTTTTTCTTTACATCTCTGGGTAATTGAACGTATATTTGCTTGGGTAGAGTTCATTGCTGAGAATGCTGAAATATTCATATTTTCAGCGGTAAACTCTACTAACGTAATCAATTAATATTTTATTTTGTTCTCTATTCTTTTTCTATTCTGTGTAGTTGCTTTCGTATTATTTATTATTAAAAAATCAATACATAAACCTTGCTAAGCGTACTGCTTTAGACTAACCGCGGCTTGTCACAGCACTTACATATTATCGCTTTTTTTTTTTAATTGCTTCTGTTGTCCTCATTTGTAAGTTGATTTGGATAAAAGCATCTGCTAAATGTTTAAATGCAAATGTAAGTATATACAAACACACACAATCATCCTTTCAAAGGGTCAGACTCAGTAATATAACTTTTATTAATCAAGTATGTTTTAAATGGATCAAAAGTGACACTTGTTGCAAAAAAATCTATTTCAGATAAACGCTGTTCTTTTCTATTATATTCCTCAAACTTTTTTCAAAAACACTGACCCCAGGTATATATATATTTATTTATTTATTTTATTTTTTATTTATTTATTTCATTTTTATTTGTTTTATTTTTTTATTATAGTATTTATTTAGCAGCCTTTAATAATTGAATAAGGCCATATTATGAATTCAGTTAATTGTGCAGCTCTACTTTGGAGTAAATACCTGTTTAATTTTGGATGTCGGTGTGTCTTTCTAGATGAAGAAAGTCAGCTTAGACGATTGGCTGCACAGGAAGAGGAGGAGCCACATAAGGAACCACTATCATGGTGAGTGTCTCATGCAGTGAGATAAACCACTTTCCTGTTGTATCCTTTTGTATTTTCTAAACCCATTAGAGGGGCTTTTAAAATAATAATAATAGTTATATAAAAATGAAAATATAGTGGTGTCATCACAGTCTGTAAAAAGGGTCCATAGTCCTATAACTGACATGATATCTAGTAACAAACCCCTTGCTAATTTAATTCCAGATCCCTCTGTGCTCTTGGGAAATTAGGGTTTCCATGGTGACCTCAGAATGACCCATGGGTGATAGCTCCTTATCTCAGTGGCTCCAGTGCTTAGCTCAGTGCCAGGCAGTCGCAGACTCCAGAGGACCAGCAGAGGCAGAACTGCGTGATCATTTTGTAGCAGCCTTTTGCGAGCCTAAGATCATTGTTACCTACATTTGATTACTATTAGAATTATTGTATTGTAACTTGTTTGTTAATATTTGGTTTCATATGTAAAACTCAACAGCTATAGTACTGATTACCAACTATGTATTTTTCTTTTTTTATCCTAAACCATCTGAAATGAAATTCCCTTGTTTTTTTTTTATATATATATATATAATTTACCTGAGGAATTTAATTTCCTCACAAATATTTGATTTGTTTATTACTGTCCACAGTTAACGGTCAGTCATTTCAGCATATTGGTATATATAACACTTTTATTTTTAATAGACTTTCGGAGTCTAATCTGCACATTAATCATCAACGGCATTTCCTCAAAGAATGTACCCAGATCGTCACGTCCATTACTTCCTCATAAATCTTTCTTTATCATTGCTATTAAGGAAAAATAACACCATTATTCGGGCCATTTAGTCTGTTGTGATTTTAGGGTGCTGAATAGTCCGTTTCCATATAACTTTTTCATAGTTAAATTAAAACCACTAGTTCATTCAGATGAGATGTCCCTCTTTAAGACTAAGGCAATGCACACCTTCTATGTAATACATCTTCAAATTTCGATTTCAGTCTTTTTTTTTTTTTTTACACAAAAGAAAGGCAAACTACTGATCCACCGAAGAGTTTGCCTTCTCCTCATGTTTGCACTGCCATACCTGTTTTATAAAATATTTAAATACTTTTTTTCAACTGTTTCTTGGTAAAAGTGATTTGATTGATTGATTGATTGAGCCTGTATAGTTGTCATCTAAACGTGTTTGTTTTTTCAGAACGAGCATAGAACAATTTGAATGATGCTGTCCTTGAACCAACCAAAACGCTTCTGTGTGCTTTGCTCTTTTTTTGTTTGTTTTTTTCTTGCAAATCACACTGAATGATTTACCCTATCGCTGTGCTTCCAGTAGGTCACGTGACTGGTTAGAGGTCTAATTGTGATCCACCAATAAGAATGTGCCATTATGTTCCTTTTAGTGGTGTGCATCCCAGTATTGATTCAGTGTAAAGTGGCCAGTTGGAGAACACTGTGTGACATTGATGTTTGTTTGTGTTTTATGTACATCAGATTGTCCAACAGTTAAATCTGTCTGTTTGAAACCATCTTGTCTCAGTATTATATGCAGGATTCCACCATGTTACTGATACACTTTGTGCTCCTGAAATGTACCAATGTGGCTGTAAGAGCTTGCTTGTTTTATTTAAGGGGCTTTGTTATGTATATGAAGTCATGTTCATGTCACATCAATATGTGATTGATTTTTGCCATTATTACAAATTATATAGGTATTCTTAGGCATCATGAATGACATGTATACCACATAATCATGTTCTTTAAATTGTAATCGCTGTTATGAAATATGTGCTCATGCCATGCATATTTGCATGATTACTTTTTTCCAAATCTTCATGGATGGCACAAAAAAACTATTTTGTAATCTGATTTGAAAATGATGTGAATTGAAAGAACAAAGGTTTTGTAAGAGGCAAACCTTGTTGAGAGAAATAACGCATACAGCGTTGTCATCTGTGATTCACAGGCACGACTGTGTGAGGTTTTCCCTTCCATCCAGCTTGTTAACATGTTATCCTCTCAGGGAACTTGCTCTCATTTCACTTTCTGCTAAAAGCACAACTCAAACTGAAAACTTGTTAGCGCAGAGGCTTCTTTAATAGGCAAGGTAGCACCGTCTGTTTACCCGGCGTGAGGTTGATATGAAGAATTCAAGGACCGTGTGACTGATCTGCTTCAGTATGTAGCCAAGTTACTTTTCTTGATGTCCTTGTGTTTACCTGAAATCTCTTCAAGATCCATTTTTCCGTCTTCGGTTTTTGTATGGGACAGATAGAGCCGAAATCACTGGCAGAGTGTTGTGTGTGAGCCACGTGACTTTGAGTGGCTCTTAACAATTAGTGGAATGTACTATTTATACTGTATTAGAAGAAAGCAACTGTACATGCAAATTGGCAATTTTTTATATGAAATATTCGTTTTAGCCATTATTTCTGTCCCCGTAGTTTCTTCTGAAAAATATGATTCTCAAACAAATTAAGTTGACTCTTTGTCTACTTGTCCAAAATCTATGTGATTTTCCACATCACATCATTCATTTAAGACTATTTCAAGTTCTGGACTTTTCGTACAATCCAGGTGTTTATTAGTTATTGGAATAAATAATACAATTGTTGTACTCTGTCTGACCATGTTGTTTTTTACCCCCCAATAAAGTCAACAGAAGTTAGTTATAGATGGCTTATGTACCAATAATTATAATAACTGAGGACCAGATCTACATATTAGAATATTTTCTTAAGGATCATTGCTGCTGAAAATTTAGCCTTGCCATCACAGGAATAAACTGCATTTTAAAATATATTAAAACAATCATATTATAATTTTTAATAATCTTAAGGGGATCATATTTGTGGTTTATTGGCTATAAAAAGTTTGAAAACCACTGTTATATATAAATGTAACCACTAGATGGCAGCACAAGTCTTTATAATGGATGTCTTTTTCCTTATTGATGCTTTTTTGGGGGGGTTTACATTTGTATATTAAATGATTTACCTTTTTTATTACAGTTGAATGACCTTCCCTTCACCAACTATCTGTGAACTGGTATTCCTGGAATTACTAGGAAACCGGGCACAAAGCTACAACTCCACGGTCACAGCGCTTATCAGCCGAAGACAAAATAAAACGATTTCACTATCAAGCATCAAGTGAGCCACCGTGGCAAAAATACAAAGCTAACAAAACCTTCTTGTATCTAACACACTTATCTGTATGACACACTAAGTTAACCCTAAAAAGTTTTTCCCCTTAACACGTAATGATCTGGCAATAAATAAACATGCATTTCTCTTGACCCAGAAACATTATTTCAAAACTCTTTTTCAATCATCATTTTGCATTCTAACTTTCTAGGGGGGGGGGGTCAAATAGCTGAAACCACATTTAAAGATAAACAAGGTGAACAGACAGAGACATTCATCATGTTTTATCAGAACTGTGCTAACAGAATGTTCTGGCACATGTATGTCATATCATTGATAGAAATGAAACCATAGCATCTACTAGCAGAAGAAAAAAAATATGTTAACATGTACTATTTTATAAAAGCAATAGGCCACTCAAGGCTGTGCTGCTTGTGAATATAGTCTCTTTCTATTGTGTGTCATGCCAACTTTTAACTATATGGCTTTGAGAGTCGTATTGCAAAATCAAAAACTAACTAATCAAAATCAATCTTACCCTCCTCCCACAGCAATAAATTCAGCACACAAATTGTCTAACATTTATTTCACCCCCTCCAAGTAAATATTTCACACATCACTTCACCATGACACTCAGATTATGCTTCCCCAAGAATATCAATAATTCTTCCGAACGATTCCTACAGTTTTACTGTGTGCTTTGGGGACTTTTTTCTGCTTTTTGCAGCAGGTTTTACAGGAACCACCTGCTTTTGGCTCCATCTATTCTGCCATATTTTACTTGAAAATACATATTTTCAAGTTCTGATTATGAAAAAAAATCATTTAACTATTTTGACTTTATGGATTGCACAAATGTAAGTTTATGTATTTTCTTTGAGGCCATATACAGTTTAGTCTTATCAGACCACTTTTTATTTCAAAATGTTTCAGGTTGTCAAATGTCTTCTAGCAAACCACAGGAATGGGGCTGGACTTGGCTCTGCTCAGGTATAGCTAGTTTCAGCCCACTCTTCTAAAGAGGTCTAAGCTATGAAATGCCAAAGAGACTAATATCTGGCCAAGTACTTTGTAAAACTCACTTGTCTCTTGGTAGCTTTTCTGACAGATGACCTTCTTGCTTGGTTGCTCAGTGAAGTAGAACAGCTTGAGCTGTTTGAATATTTTTTTTACCCGTTTTGTTTGAAAGGTTCATCACAGTTATAGAAAAGTATTCTCACTTTCTCCAGGTTTACCTCTTTTCATGGCCAGCATGGTCATGTCAGTATGAATGAACAATTTAGCATTTTTATGATATAATAAAATAATATACATGTATTATACATAATACATGTATGTATTATAATAAAAACAGCCCTATTTATGTGCAACCCTGTCAATAAAAATTAACAGATATATTTTGTTTATGTATTCTTCAAATAATTAAATGCCTACCAAGTTAAACAATTGGTAGCCTAAATTAATCAGTGATTAATATTCGGATTTTATAGGTCTAGTTCTGAATAAGAATACAATTATTAAAATAAACTTGAATACATCTACATTTTCATCGTAACTTTACAGAGAATTTTCAACAGGAGTTTCTGAACTACAAATCTTTGATATTTAAACATTGCAACTAAACTTTCTTTGTTCTCGAAAACTGCAATGGAACATATCACGACATGAATCATTAATAGGCACAAGAGACCAAAAATAAAACGAAATAAATTTTACATTAAATTCCTGACACCTTTCAAGCAATTTCATCACTGAATTCGATATTTTGTTGCTTTTAGAGATAAAGATTTAAACTGCAGCACTGGATTAGCGCTTCATCGTCACACTCCTTATCAGCACGTATTCCACGAATCCATTCCATTCATATTCTCGAGCGAACAGCCAATCAGAGGCCACGCATAAACGGATTTCCGCGAATCAGAAATCGGTGCTCCTCCATCGCCCCGGCAACTGTTATGACGTCGCTAGAGTATCCCGCCCATGATCAGTGTGTGTGTGTTCGAATCGTTAGGAGGCACGCAGCCATTACAATACGCTGTATTCAAACCGTACGCAACGCGATTAGAGGAACTAGACTATTACTGCCTCATTTTCTTTGTTTAAATTTCAGTTTTATTAAACTAAATTTGAACTTTAAAGACGGTACTTTTGTCTGTTTTTCAAACAGTCGTATATGTAAATATAGTCAGCGTTGCGTCGACGTGAGACGCTCCGCATTCCCAGGCATTAGACTCACAGGAGACACGCGCATTCAGCCTTTTCCGTTTGTTTAGCGCATTCATTTGAACGCCTGCATTTCGTTAACCAAGAAGATTCAGATTTAAGAGACTCGCTTCGATTTAGATGGCAAGCTTCCCAGATTTTGTCAACGAAAATGAAATAGGTGAGTTTCTCCATTTCTCGTCACTGTTTTGCACGGGGGGATGGTCTTACTGTTTGGTTCCTTTTTTAAACGTGTGTATTAACCTATATAATTAGTGTTTACATTTGTGCAGCTATGGATTTAACGTTATGTGGCTTAAGTTAACGTACTCATAATTTCAGTGTCTGTGTCGTGTTTATTTTAGCCATATTAGGACAATTATCGCTTAGACGCACATTGAACTCAAACAAATGCGTACGCCGTGTAACGTTATGTCAGTTAAAATATGACGTTTAAATATTGACAGTTATTTGAATATTTCATAGTTATTGCCAGTGCTATAATTATTGCGCCCCATGTTCACCCAGAGCACATCCACACCCTCCCCCACCGTCCGCAGCAGTTTCTCCAGACCCCCGTGAATGACTCGCACCACACCAGTGATTCACCACAACACCACACACCAGCTACACGTTACACAGTTATATGCCTTGTGTTAATTATATACACTTTACATTTTTTGAAGGAAAAAAAGTTTTATGTGTTTTGTTTTGAAATTTTAATATCCAGGACGGCGTATTCATATAGTGATTAGTAACTATTCAGTTAGTCACTGGTGAGGTGCTAGCTGCTACTAGTCATTAACCGGTTAGTGACAAGTATTGTTTCTGTTCAGAATGGCTCGTTTTTGTCAATTAATTCTACAGACAATTTACAGACAACTATTTACTAGTGTGTAATATTATATACATTCCAATTGTCACATATTAACTATTGTATTAAGTACCTATCTAATGAATAGCTTCTAACGTTAGTCCATTTTAAAACTCTTGGATTGCCTGCTGTTTACAAAAAAAAGTGCTATTAACACAAAATTAGATGCTCCACAACATTTTCAAAATTATTTGCATAAAAAGTCACATTTAATTTATTTTTTTAATAATTTAAAGGATTGTTCACCCCAAAATTAAATGTCGTTTAAATTGGCTTTGTTTCTTCTGTGGAACATAAAAAAGACATTTTGGGAAGTGTTTCAGGTTTTTTTGTCCATGCAATAGAAATCAATGGTAACCAAAACTGTTTGATAACCAACATTCTTCAAAATATCATCTTTTGTGTTCTGCAAGGAAAGTAAGTCATACAAGTTTGAAACGCTGTGATGGTGAGTAAATGATAACCAAATTGTAATTTTTGGGTGAACTATCAATTTATATTTATTTTTTGATTTGCAAAAGTAGATGGAAATATAGTTATAATGTAACTCAATGACAGCTATGAAGGCAAAAATGCATGTTTGTTGTAAAACAGTAACAAAAAGTAGTTTGCCAACAAGTTTGGTTTTATAAAATGCTTTAAAGGCTTAAACATGTGCTTTCTGTTGTAACAGGTAAAGCTAAGTTCATCGGGGAACTCATACCTCCTGTTGCTCCCTTTGACCAGAAGTCTGGACGGGAGACTTGGACTGTAGCTTTTGCACCTGATGGTTCCTACTTCGCTTGGTCTCAAGGGCATCGAATTGTGAGACTTGTACCATGGAAAAAATGCTTAGCCAGCTTGTGAGTATACACACTTATCTCTTTGTTTCTCACTGTGGTGAATTGTTACAATACAGCTTGTGTGTTGATGGACTGACAAAGGCAGTCTGCGTGTGTGCTGGTTGTCTGGTTTGGCCCTCTGGGCTTTCACATGGTGGCTACGCCACAGTGGTGCCCAGTGTGTTTGGGCTTGTTTAGTGGCATGGCATAGATCAGCAGTCATCATCTCACCTTACCCTGTGGATAGAGCAGGGGTGCCCAAACTCGGTCCTGGAGGGCCGATGTCCTGCAGAGTTTAGATCCAACCCCAATTAGACACACCTGAACCAGCTAATCAAGCTCTTACTAGGCATACTAGAAACTTCCCAGCAGGTGTGTTTAGGCCTGTCACGATAACAACTTTTTGTTGTGTGATATATTGCCCCAGAAATAATTGCGATAAGCGATATTATTGTCATTTTAAAGACCATTTTATGCCACTGAATATATAATCATAATGTAACAGCATAATAATGCAAGAAGGCCTACACACTTCCATATGACAACAAACTTTTAATTTTTAAGAATATTTAGATCATGGAAAATAAGTATCAAAATATTAGATACCTTAAAAAAAACCTGAATAAACAGTAAATAAACATTTTCTAACAAAAAGTGCAAAATAACAAGTAGGAAAAAAAGAAAAATGCACAAAGAACTTGTCTGGAGATTTTTCCATCTACAGATTTTTCCCTGACCTTCATTTCTCTGTAAATTAAGGGTGCACACTATTGCTGAAAAACACAATCACTACTTAGCAGTCGGATGTCCGTATGCACAAAGGCACAGATCCCTAAACAAGATCATATCTGCAGATGAAACTCTTTTTGTAGAAGCATTTTTTAAATTTGAACTTGCACCTCATGACTACACTACGTTATGTACGAGAAGCTGCAAAAGACACAGGCGCAAGTGGAATGTACAAAACATGGTGACATTAATTTTTAAGTAAATATAATGGGCGATATATTGCGTCACCAAAAATTATTGAGGTTATGTACATATATTGCGCGATAAGTCGATATATTGATTATTGCGACAGGCCTAGGTGTGTTGAGGCAAGTTGGAGCTAAACTCTGCAGGACACCGGCCCTCCAGGACCGAGTTTGGGCACCCCTGGGATAGAGAGACCGCCGTTGAGCGCACAGCCCTGCCAACCAGCTATTGTACAGTACTGAATGCAGAGTCCTCATTATGAGGTTCACATCATTGCCCTTTGGCTGCATGCCTCCAACTGAGCAACTTTTTGGGCTCTTTGCCAGTGTTAAATGCAGTAGGTCTCGTACTTTTCTGCAAGAGTTGGGTACAAAATGATCCACCCAACAACTACTTTGGTAGTCATTATATAAAATGTTAAGTAATTATCTTGTGCTTTCAGTGCAGGATTTATTGACATGCTTATGCTAGTGTTCTTCATAAAAATACTAGAAATATCATTGCAACATAAACCATGCAGACAACTTGAAAATTTAAAGTAGAACTTTAACAGAATTTATGATAGTTGGAAGTAAACAAACAGTTTCTACATGTCCATAAAAGAGAACCATGGTATTGTAAAACTATTTTCAGTCATTCTACATTGAAGTGTAGTAACTTTATTAGTAGTTGTACACACCAAAGGACATCATTTGGTAGTTAAATTTTAAGTTTAGGTTCACAATTGAACTAAAATAATTGGGAAAAATACTTTTGCAGTTCCTTAACCAGAGTTGTTATAGTTAATTAAAAACATTAAAAAAAGTTTGTTGATACCATAAAATGACACTAAAAGTGAAATAAAAGTTATTAACAATATAGACATTAAAAACAACTAATAAAAGTGACAAAACACGGCAACATTACTAAAATTTTAATAAAAACTAGAACAATTAGCTGTGATAGTATTTCAGTGGCTCTAAAATCAGAGGCACAATTTTATACAGGTTATTTGAGTCTTTATTCTTTTATTAATTAATTTAAATAAATAAAAAATTGTCATCACTTCATCAACCTCATGTTTCAAGACTTATTCATCTTTAAAACTCAAATTTAACACTGGATTTAAATGCTCTATTCATATTGATTACTTTTACAGTCTCTTTATGAACTTTTTAAAGCATCAAAGTTTTGGTTAAAAATATCTTCATTTGTGTTTTGAAGGCTAACAAAAGACTTACGAGTTTTTGGGTGAACTATTCCTTTAATGCTCAAGCAGAAGCCACTGTGCCATTAAAAGCTTCAGCTGACACGTGGCAGGCTGTTTCAGTTCTGCAGCGCCTGCTCTGTATTCATGCAATAACCTCTTGTAATGATTCCAGAACCTTATCTGATGAGCTTCAGGAACTGGCCAAGTTAAATGGGTCCAAGTTGATGCAACACTTAAGTAATCTCTAAGGCTGGGAGTTTACTTGGTGTTCAAATATTCCTAAGAGTTAAAATGTGCAGCTTATTTCAACAGACGTGCTAGATAACATTTAAAAAAAATAAAATGTCCTCTTGCTGTTGACAGTTTATCAACTTTAAGAGAATTTGTTATCGGTGTTCCACGAAGCACAGACATGATTCTCATACCAACACAACACAATAATTTTTTCTCTTTCCCTCGCCCTAGTTCTGTAAGAAAGGAAGATCAGTCAAGCGGTGCAGGTCCTCGACGACTGTCCCGGCAGAACAGTGAGGGCAGTCTGCTGCCAGGCGAGCCTAGAGAGCACACCATCGACTGCGGTGACATCGTTTGGGGCCTGGCCTTTGGCTCTTCTGTTCCTGAAAAACAGAGTCGCTGCGTTAATATCGAATGGCACAGGTTCAAGTTCGGCCAGGACCAGCTGCTGCTGGCCACGGGCCTCAACAACGGCCGCATCAAAATCTGGGACGTCTATACAGGTGAGGGTCCTCTCACTGAATCAAGTAATCAGTTTTTTTCTGATGATTCCGCACTAGAGTAAATGTGTTTTAAAAGTCACAGTCCACCCATGCCATCTTCTCTCAACACTTCTGCATGCCAGCTTCCTGTTTTTCTATTTCTCAACAGATGTGTGTGCGCTCGCATGTGTGTGTAAGAGAGAGGGGAGGTGGTGGTTATATAAGATGTTGACATGATCTACCTTTTTGTCATTTTGACCCATTTCTATCACTTAATCATACATTCTTCATATTTTACGAATGTATGTCCTGTATACACCTATTGAGTTTGAGCATTTTTATGCAGTCATCAGTCAGTACTAAATTATTATTATTACATATTTACTCAACCTTATAAGTACACTCTCCCTTGCACAATACATTTCTCCACTTTATGAACCTTTGTACCACTTTGCCATTGGTTTCTTGGCCACTTAAGTTCTGCTTCTGTGTCTCTGTTCAAGTTTCACATTTTAATGGTCATAACAGCATGTGTAAATCTGCTATCGGAGAACGAATCGCTGTTTTTGTGAAACAGAGAGGTGGTTGTTGACTGCAGAAAAAATAGTGACACTTCCAAGTTATATAATTCATTTTTGCCTAGCTGTAAAATATATTAATTGGTGGGCAGGTCCTGTAAAGACACTGCCATTGGCTGTTCTGAGGGGTAAGAGATGTTTTCTTCAGTGGGTGACTCCACCTCCCTTCTAACTAAAACTGCAATGCAATAAATTAACCCAGCAGACTTGCTCTTTTCAGGGTGCGAGACTCCTCCTCCAGCTGCCTTTGTTTTTTGCCTTTGAAATCTGATAGCAGCATATTGTACAGTATCTTGACAGGATTTGCGCCATGCACATGCTAAGTGAATGTATGTTTTCATGCTTGACAGGATACAAATAGGCCCTGTTACTAAGCCTCAATCAAATTTTAGAAACACATGTTAAAGATTTTTGTTTTGTCACTGTAGATGCAGCTAATTATAGGGATTTAATGCGGATTAGCCTGGCAGGTGTCCGTGATTGTGCTTCCATATGCCTCTAGGCAATTCAGCACCTTTCATAAAGAAAGGGCTTAGATGTATAACTGCTCTGTTTTTCTGAAACGCCTTGGGAAGTCCCTTTTTTGGCATCTGCTTTAATAAGTATTAAACTTATTGGAACCTTAATCTTCCTCTCTTTGATTCCTAAGAAGTCAAAAAAGTTTCTAAAGTAAACTATGTGTTAAATGCAGCTCCCAAGATACAGTGACAAGATGTTGATACTGATGCAACATTGACGCAGTTTGCATCGATTAACGTGGATTTTGTTGTATAAACAGTGGTTTATCTGGAATGATTTTGCTGAAGGCTTTTTTTTCTACCTTTATCCTCAATTTTGTTTTCTTCTGTACAGGAAAACTTTTGCTGAACCTGATGGACCACACAGACATTGTGCGAGACCTAACGTTTGCCCCAGATGGGAGTTTAGTGCTGGTTTCTGCCTCAAGAGACAAGACTCTACGCGTATGGGACCTCAAAGATGACGGTGAGGACCAAATGTTGATTTTGTATTTGGTACCACTACTGTTAGCTTTACATATTAATGTTAACATGCTAGAGCTAGATATTGTGTAACCCCAAGCTGAAAAGTCTCTGGAGTAGACGTTTCCTTCACAGCAGCCTGCTTTGTTTTTTGCAGCCCATTTATTTTCACTTCATCTCCATGGAGTTCAGCACACACACACTCGCTCAAGCATGCACATGCACACCCACTCAGAGATTTGGGCGTTTGGCGGGGGGGAAATAGTTGGAAAATAATTGGATGCCAAGTCCGAAAGAATGTTTGCTGATATTTTCTCCTTTTCTTGCAAGATCCTGGGACAGGCTTGCTGTTTTAATAAGATCACATGAATCTTATTTATATGCTGGGAACTTGAAGATAAAATGGAGTTTACTGTATTTGCAAACAGGGTTTTTTTTTTTTTTTTTACTAATCATGAAGGTATGTTGGCCAGAGTTCAGCTAAATTTTCCCCACTCTCAAAGTGGACACCATTGGAATGTGAAATTTAGCTACTGCCTAAAGTATATTTATTTTGTTGTTCTAAGGCATCAACATTGCTTTCAAAGGTTAAATATTGTATTGGGAAAAGTCTTTATTATTGTAAACTGTTTGCATAATGTTTATCGTAAATTGTAACATAATTTTACTTAGAATTTTAGGAAATTTAATAACCAACTATAAATGTTATAACAGAAAACAAACTAAAAGTATTACTATACATTAAGCAATCTAAATTATTTGTCTTAATAGGTAACATGGTGAAAGTACTCCGTGGCCATCAAAACTGGGTCTACTGCAGCGCGTTCTCACCGGATTCATCAGTCCTTTGTTCCGTAGGCGCAGGCAAAGCGGTACGTTTTGCAGTTCTTTCTTGCTCTTTATTACCTGTTTGGTGTGTTTCTCACTGTTAGTAGTTCTGCTATGACCAATCAATGAGTGCTAAATGAATCTTTATATATCATCATAATGCTCAGTGCTATAATCTGCTTCTATAAACCCTGCCTGTAGTTTTGGTTTTTGCTTTGTTATTGTTCATACAAATGAGCGCCTGGTTATTATGCGCATGTATATAGAAATGCAAATAGCTTAAGAATCTTCTTCACCCATAAAGCTGTTCTTGATATTACTATTAATAACATTTTAAGAGACTTCTATAATAGACAATATATTTTCATAAATATAATTTGAATAAAACATGATGTCCCTAGGATCTTTCCCACACACATAGTGGTATTAAATCTGATATCAAAACTGGTATCAAGAACGTTTGGGGTCAGTAAGATAAATAAAAGTAGCCTATACTTTTCTTTAAAAAAACAAGGACACATTGGATAAAAAAAAAAGTGACAGTTAAGGCATTTCTTACAAAATATTTCAGTTTCAAATGCTGTTTGTTCTATTTGTTAAAGAATCAGCACAGTTGATTTCAACATTCATAATAAATGTTTCATGAGCACCAAAATAGCATATTAGAATAATTTCTGAAGGATCATGTGACGCTGAAATCTGGAGTTATAGCTGCTGGAATTTCAGCTTTGCCATCACAGGATTAAATTACATTTCAAAATATATTCAAAAAGAAAATGTATATTTTAAATTGTGTTAAAATGAACTTACTGACTTCAAACTTTTGAACAGTAGTGTATGATTCTCATACCAACACAACACAATAATTTTTTCTCTTTCCCTCGCCCTAGTTCTGTAAGAAAGGAAGATCAGTCAAGCGGTGCAGGTCCTCGACGACTGTCCCGGCAGAACAGTGAGGGCAGTCTGCTGCCAGGCGAGCCTAGAGAGCACACCATCGACTGCGGTGACATCGTTTGGGGCCTGGCCTTTGGCTCTTCTGTTCCTGAAAAACAGAGTCGCTGCGTTAATATCGAATGGCACAGGTTCAAGTTCGGCCAGGACCAGCTGCTGCTGGCCACGGGCCTCAACAACGGCCGCATCAAAATCTGGGACGTCTATACAGGTGAGGGTCCTCTCACTGAATCAAGTAATCAGTTTTTTTCTGATGATTCCGCACTAGAGTAAATGTGTTTTAAAAGTCACAGTCCACCCATGCCATCTTCTCTCAACACTTCTGCATGCCAGCTTCCTGTTTTTCTATTTCTCAACAGATGTGTGTGCGCTCGCATGTGTGTGTAAGAGAGAGGGGAGGTGGTGGTTATATAAGATGTTGACATGATCTACCTTTTTGTCATTTTGACCCATTTCTATCACTTAATCATACATTCTTCATATTTTACGAATGTATGTCCTGTATACACCTATTGAGTTTGAGCATTTTTATGCAGTCATCAGTCAGTACTAAATTATTATTATTACATATTTACTCAACCTTATAAGTACACTCTCCCTTGCACAATACATTTCTCCACTTTATGAACCTTTGTACCACTTTGCCATTGGTTTCTTGGCCACTTAAGTTCTGCTTCTGTGTCTCTGTTCAAGTTTCACATTTTAATGGTCATAACAGCATGTGTAAATCTGCTATCGGAGAACGAATCGCTGTTTTTGTGAAACAGAGAGGTGGTTGTTGACTGCAGAAAAAATAGTGACACTTCCAAGTTATATAATTCATTTTTGCCTAGCTGTAAAATATATTAATTGGTGGGCAGGTCCTGTAAAGACACTGCCATTGGCTGTTCTGAGGGGTAAGAGATGTTTTCTTCAGTGGGTGACTCCACCTCCCTTCTAACTAAAACTGCAATGCAATAAATTAACCCAGCAGACTTGCTCTTTTCAGGGTGCGAGACTCCTCCTCCAGCTGCCTTTGTTTTTTGCCTTTGAAATCTGATAGCAGCATATTGTACAGTATCTTGACAGGATTTGCGCCATGCACATGCTAAGTGAATGTATGTTTTCATGCTTGACAGGATACAAATAGGCCCTGTTACTAAGCCTCAATCAAATTTTAGAAACACATGTTAAAGATTTTTGTTTTGTCACTGTAGATGCAGCTAATTATAGGGATTTAATGCGGATTAACCTGGCAGGTGTCCGTGATTGTGCTTCCATATGCCTCTAGGCAATTCAGCACCTTTCATAAAGAAAGGGCTTAGATGTATAACTGCTCTGTTTTTCTGAAACGCCTTGGGAAGTCCCTTTTTTGGCATCTGCTTTAATAAGTATTAAACTTATTGGAACCTTAATCTTCCTCTCTTTGATTCCTAAGAAGTCAAAAAAGTTTCTAAAGTAAACTATGTGTTAAATGCAGCTCCCAAGATACAGTGACAAGATGTTGATACTGATGCAACATTGACGCAGTTTGCATCGATTAACGTGGATTTTGTTGTATAAACAGTGGTTTATCTGGAATGATTTTGCTGAAGGCTTTTTTTTCTACCTTTATCCTCAATTTTGTTTTCTTCTGTACAGGAAAACTTTTGCTGAACCTGATGGACCACACAGACATTGTGCGAGACCTAACGTTTGCCCCAGATGGGAGTTTAGTGCTGGTTTCTGCCTCAAGAGACAAGACTCTACGCGTATGGGACCTCAAAGATGACGGTGAGGACCAAATGTTGATTTTGTATTTGGTACCACTACTGTTAGCTTTACATATTAATGTTAACATGCTAGAGCTAGATATTGTGTAACCCCAAGCTGAAAAGTCTCTGGAGTAGACGTTTCCTTCACAGCAGCCTGCTTTGTTTTTTGCAGCCCATTTATTTTCACTTCATCTCCATGGAGTTCAGCACACACACACTCGCTCAAGCATGCACATGCACACCCACTCAGAGATTTGGGCGTTTGGCGGGGGGGAAATAGTTGGAAAATAATTGGATGCCAAGTCCGAAAGAATGTTTGCTGATATTTTCTCCTTTTCTTGCAAGATCCTGGGACAGGCTTGCTGTTTTAATAAGATCACATGAATCTTATTTATATGCTGGGAACTTGAAGATAAAATGGAGTTTACTGTATTTGCAAACAGGGTTTTTTTTTTTTTTTTTACTAATCATGAAGGTATGTTGGCCAGAGTTCAGCTAAATTTTCCCCACTCTCAAAGTGGACACCATTGGAATGTGAAATTTAGCTACTGCCTAAAGTATATTTATTTTGTTGTTCTAAGGCATCAACATTGCTTTCAAAGGTTAAATATTGTATTGGGAAAAGTCTTTATTATTGTAAACTGTTTGCATAATGTTTATCGTAAATTGTAACATAATTTTACTTAGAATTTTAGGAAATTTAATAACCAACTATAAATGTTATAACAGAAAACAAACTAAAAGTATTACTATACATTAAGCAATCTAAATTATTTGTCTTAATAGGTAACATGGTGAAAGTACTCCGTGGCCATCAAAACTGGGTCTACTGCAGCGCGTTCTCACCGGATTCATCAGTCCTTTGTTCCGTAGGCGCAGGCAAAGCGGTACGTTTTGCAGTTCTTTCTTGCTCTTTATTACCTGTTTGGTGTGTTTCTCACTGTTAGTAGTTCTGCTATGACCAATCAATGAGTGCTAAATGAATCTTTATATATCATCATAATGCTCAGTGCTATAATCTGCTTCTATAAACCCTGCCTGTAGTTTTGGTTTTTGCTTTGTTATTGTTCATACAAATGAGCGCCTGGTTATTATGCGCATGTATATAGAAATGCAAATAGCTTAAGAATCTTCTTCACCCATAAAGCTGTTCTTGATATTACTATTAATAACATTTTAAGAGACTTCTATAATAGACAATATATTTTCATAAATATAATTTGAATAAAACATGATGTCCCTAGGATCTTTCCCACACACATAGTGGTATTAAATCTGATATCAAAACTGGTATCAAGAACGTTTGGGGTCAGTAAGATAAATAAAAGTAGCCTATACTTTTCTTTAAAAAAACAAGGACACATTGGATAAAAAAAAAAGTGACAGTTAAGGCATTTCTTACAAAATATTTCAGTTTCAAATGCTGTTTGTTCTATTTGTTAAAGAATCAGCACAGTTGATTTCAACATTCATAATAAATGTTTCATGAGCACCAAAATAGCATATTAGAATAATTTCTGAAGGATCATGTGACGCTGAAATCTGGAGTTATAGCTGCTGGAATTTCAGCTTTGCCATCACAGGATTAAATTACATTTCAAAATATATTCAAAAAGAAAATGTATATTTTAAATTGTGTTAAAATGAACTTACTGACTTCAAACTTTTGAACAGTAGTGTATTGTATGTAGCTGTCATGCTGGCTTGTGTGTGAAAGCCCTTATGGCACAACAAAGAAAGTATTCCAGTCAGTAAGTCATCCCTGAAACCAGCTCTCGAGCCTTTCCGACTCATAGCCAACTCCCCTCCCATGAACAGGCAGCAGTGGTTGAACTGTACGGTTGTGTGTGTCCATAAGTGTCTTGCTTTCCCTGTCCCAGGTGGTGGCAGAGCTCTGTGTTTGAGTGATTTTGAGGGAAGCGCCGCGCTGACATATAGAGCAGCCGGTGCGGACCACGCAGGGCACGGCTGCCATCGCGGCCCCCATTGGACGCTCATGTGCCCGTGCCCACGCCCCAGGGGCTTCCATGCTCCTGCCCACAAGGGCTTCCTGTACGTAGGTTCTAATCTGCTCCATGTCTGTCTACCTCCCGCTGTCGCAGTTCTCACTTTTACCTTATTTCTCAGCAGAGTTGACAGTGAGATCCCCTTCCCTTCCTTAACTCCTTTTCATCTCTATATTCAGTAGCATTCCCATCATCTACACATTTACCCTAAAAGAGGAGCTCTAGACATTGTGTCTGCTGTACGTGTACATGAGTCAGCCATTAGTGCCCCCCCCCCCACTCATTAGTGTCTGTAACTGAACTCACGACACCTCTGAAACGCAACGCTGGACCGCTGGCCGATTTTTCTGTACTTAACGCCCTAGTCAGACTCCTTTGTAATGGGGTTAGTAGTTAAGGGGGGATTGGGAGCATTGTTGGCATGTGTGAGCAATGAAAGGGCTCCTTGTGTCTCAAAAGACTGCCTGCAGACCGATAATGTCAGTCTAATATGGAATTACTCGGATCGGGAAAACGGGTTACGCAAATTTATCATTCCATGTTGCATCATACATGAAGCCACCAGAAGCAAGACCTGTGGGTACTTCCCATGCTGGTTGCATTTACTAAGTGAAAGCGCTTTTTTTTTTTTCCCATTTGTGAATAATCTAATTTGTCGTGTTCTGAAAGAGTCTGTTTTAGCGACGCCAGCCCGAGAACTTCAGCAAACACCAACTTGTTTTTCCTAATTTGTAAGGAACCACTAATTAATAGTAGCACTTGTTTCTCCTAAAGATCGATAAAATCGCACTAGTTCAACTTCCAAAAATGGTTGTAATGTTTCTTCCACGTGCAAGATATCTGGCTTAGCTTAACATTGAATACTGGCAGTAGTTGTGCACCCTGAAGCACTTTCAACTCACATTGCCAAGTTAGAGAAAATGGTAAATTAGCCTTGTATAACGCACCGTTGTAGTTTCTCCAACAACACCAGAATGTTTAAACAGCAATAAGCTATTGAATAAATAAATATGTATACTTTTGCTCAAGTGCAATGTCTGTAGCTTATAAGGAATAAACAAGAATGTTTTCTTAATATAAAGACCATGCAGGGACCTTGTTTTCTTGGTACTCAAAAATACGCTCTTAAGGTGTGTTCACATTTCAGAAATTTTATGTTATCGTTTGTTAAAAGTGTAGCGATGAAGCATAGCTCACACTTAAGTAACTTTAGAACCAAGCGGCTTTCGGTTCCCAATCATTCTGAAACCATTTCGTAGTCTATGTGGGGAAATCTTTTGCCCTCACATGATTCCCGATTGCATGGATTCATATTGAAATCGATAGATTTCACCCATGAAAATTTGCCGAACAGCAGTAATTGTGACCGCACCTTTGCACTTTCTTAAATGTAAAAATTGTGCTGGAGCAAATAAAGCACTAGAAAGTCTCATGGTTGATTCATTAGCCGAGATTGCAGTTGTGACATGTCTGTATTCTGTGTTTGCCAAAGGCGTCAACCTTTTGGCCATCAAATGTTCTCTTCTCTTGCAGTATCTCTGTCTCTTCGTAGGCCTCCACCGGCGCGGTGCAAGCCTATTGTAAACTCAAGTGAACTAAAACTGAAAGGGGATACCAGTGGAGTAACATAATGTTACCTTAAGTTACTACTTGTTTGTATTTTTTATTTTATTTACTCATGTTGTAATTCTTGGAATAATGTAATTTTATATATGTAACTGTAATTTTATATATGTACACTGTAGTATTTCTGTATCACTGTAGATTTTAATTTAAAAAATGTGAGCATTGATGTAATTTAAAGACTCGCAACTGCTAGCTGCTCTGTAGAGTTTGACATTGTGCAGTTTTGTGCAACTAAGCCTTGCTGTTTCATTGGCATGTGCTACTTTTTTTGGGTTTGGTTGTAGCGCTTAAGATTTTACCTAAAAAAATGACACTGAGCACATTTTGATCTTGCCGTTTAATTTGAAATAATTGAATTCTTTGTCTCTGAATTGTGTGGAAAACACAGTAGGCTATAACATCTGTCTTTTGCATTGCAGATCTTCCTGTGGGACATGGATAAGTACACTCTGATCCGTAAGCTGGAGGGCCATCATAACGACGTGGTGTCCTGCGAGTTTTCTCCTGACGGGGCCTTGCTGGCCACAGCGTCCTACGACACCCGTGTCATCATGTGGGACCCTCATACAGCCACCGTTCTGCTCGAGCTGGGGTATGTGACTTGTTTTTCCACCCCCTTTTCCTCTTCTAGCTCTGTGTGATTTCTCTCTCAAGCTCATGTTGTTTAACTGATCTCTTATCTTCCCTTCAGGCATCTCTTCCCTCCTCCCTCACCCATATTTGCAGGAGGAGCAAATGATCGATGGGTTCGCTCTGTCGCCTTTTGTCATGACGGTCGGCACATTGCCAGCGTCACTGATGACAGGTAAGATAATGCAAACACTCGGTTATTTGCTTTTGAAAACTCAACATTGATCGTTTGTGTTGCAGTTAGTAGCCTGCATTAAGCTTTAGGGTGATAGGGGCTCTGGAAGGAGTGTGTGATTTGTTGCAGGGCCTCTTTCTGGGAAAGATCACATGCCTCTCATATGACATCCATTAATCACTATGAGGCTCCCAGTTTGCCTTCACCGTGCCTCCTGCTGATTCTGGGTGGAGGCGCCTCTCTCTCGTATTGAGAGAATGAAACCATTTGTGCTCTACAAAATGCACTTACTGTGCATATGATTTGTTTTGCGGTTAGGTGCAAATGATAGGACCATTCTTTTGTTCACCAAGGCTGTTTACTTGATCAAAAATACTGTCATTTAAAAGACCCATTTTAAATTTTAATATAATGTAATTTATTCCTGTGATGGCAAAGCTGAATTTTGTAACCTTATAAATGGCTCTACTGTCAATTTTTTTTTTTATTGGTTTAGTGTGTCCTTGCCGAAAAAAAGTATTATTCTTACTGACCTCAAATTTTGAACAGTACTGTATAAAATCATTATTTAAAATAGTTATTTTAGGCAAATTTCATACTTTTAGTTTCATGTTTATTTGCTTTAAAAGTTATGCAAGACACTGGAAACCGCAATCAACTTGTATTTTCATTTTTCAGACTGGTGCGTTTCTGGAGCATCGATAAGAAGAGTCCTCAAGCCATCGCCCCTCTCACTAACGGCCTCTGTTGTGCCTTTTCTACTGACGGAAGTGTCTTAGTTGCTGGGTACGAATTTGTTACTCCATTGTTTGATTGGTAGTGTTACTACATCTGTATCTTGGCTTCTAACTGTTCTTCTGTTTTGAGATGAAGCCAAAAATAACTTTCATCACTTTGTTCAAAAGTATCCTGAACGATCTATTATAAAAGAAATGCACCAAACCGGTTCTGCAGCCTGCTTTGTATATGAAATTGTTTAGATGAGTTGGCTGTCCCACATACACTCATACTTTTCTGCATGATAGCAGTCTCGCAAAGCTGAATTGGCAAGTTGTACTGTATAAACACAACCAGACCTTGTTCAAGATGACATTTGATCATGTGTCAGTGCCAAGTTAAATAAACTAAATGGCATCCGATTGTCTTTTCACAGGTCTCGTGACGGCAGCGTGCATTTCTGGGCTTCTCCACGCAGCATTGCGAGCCTCCAGCACTTGTGCCGCTTGACCCTGCGGCGAGTCATGCCCACCCAGCAGGTTTATACGCTGCCCATTCCTTTCTCCATGCACGACTACCTGGCATACAAGACGCTTTAAGTTGGAACGCAAAACACGGCACTCTGTGAAACCAATGAAATGTGTGGTTTTTGTTTGTTTTTTTCTTTAAAAAAATAAAAAATGTTTTTTCTGCTCAAACCGACTCCTAATGAAGGTGAGGTTGGTTCTTTTTGTATTTATTTATTTTTCACATTTTTTTGAAAGTTTAGTTTTCCTAGTTGCAAGTGTATTTCGATGCTTTGTTCAAATTTGTCCTTTTTTTTTTTTTTTTTACCCGTCTTTTCACAGGTCTCGTGACGGCAGCGTGCATTTCTGGGCTTCTCCACGCAGCATTGCGAGCCTCCAGCACTTGTGCCGCTTGACCCTGCGGCGAGTCATGCCCACCCAGCAGGTTTATACGCTGCCCATTCCTTTCTCCATGCACGACTACCTGGCATACAAACAAGATTAAGTTGGAACGCAAAACACGGCACTCTGTGAAACCAATGAAATGTGTGGTTTTTGTTTGTTTGTTTTTTTCTTTAAAAAAATACAAAATGTTTTTTCTGCTCAAACCGACTCCTAATGAAGGTGAGGTTGGTTCTTTTTGTATTTATTTATTTTTCACATTTTTTTGAAAGTTTAGTTTTCCTAGTTGCAAGTGTATTTCGATGCTTTGTTCAAATTTGTCCTTTTTTTTTTTTTTTAGCCCATATCAGGTAGTGGCCTTCAAACAGCCTTAATATATCAGCGGACCATGTTATCTTTTTTTTTTTTTTTTTATCTGGCACAATTTGTACAGCACCTTAGAGTTGGTAAATGATGGGTGAAAGTGGTGCTTTCTCTGGCTCAGTTTAAGGTATTCCTAAACTGAGTTTAAAGTGATGTTACGGGGGATTGTCTCCCGAATGTTCTGCAGTGTTTTCTTTTTCCTTGCTGGCTGTGAGAGGGATTGAAGGGAAGTGAAAATGTGTATGTGCATGTGATGAAATATAGTTGGGTAGTTCAGGGACAGGCAGTGCCTCCCTTTGACGTGCCTCTTTAGAGAAAATAAACATCCACACGCTTATGCTGCTTCAGTAACCGCTTTCATCATCACAAATCTAACACTTCAGTAACACATGGGTTAATTTGTTTCCTCCACAAATTGTATATTTTTTATCTGTACAGAGATTTGTAAAGGCACGTGTATATACATATGTTTGTATAAATGTGTGTGTATATATATATATATATATATATATAGCCATTTTTTTCACATGCTTCTCATACATCACTTTATAATGCTTATATTGAAAGTCTGTTCTGTATATGGTCTTTTCTTTTGTAGGGGAATGACACAAAAGTTTGCTTCGAGGAGAAGCTGCAAACTAGTTTGATGAGATTTTAACTAACCAGCAGCAAAATTGATGCCACATCTTTGATTTCTCGTTCCAAATAAATTGCCACTGACTTCCACTTGCTGTATCTGCTATGAAATATGGCACTTTCACCTGGCCTGACACATTCTCACCACTTAACTCACAATCGAACCTCATTGTGTTAACACTTTGACATTTGCCTTGTGCGTTTTAACAGCGAGCCAAAGTGAGGTTTTGTGGAGGTGGTTTTGTTTGGGCATATCTCATCTACCTCTCATTTTGAGGAACTGGTTTATTGGATGTCCTGGAACAAAAAGGCATGGTTCCGTTTATTGATTGTATAACGTATGTGAAACTGCCTGTCATTTAAAGCAATTGAATGGTATCAATTAAGAATGTGGCAAATTCATCTGGTCATGGTCTTGGCAATAAAAATGTTGAAAAAGCTGACACCAAAGATCCCCTTGGGTTCTTATTGATATGATTGGCACAGTCAGTTTTCTCTTACCCTCATTTATGGCTAAAACTTGAAAGTAGTTATATGTATGTCTGTTTTTCTGCTTGGGTGTATGAAGAATGCTGATGTTCAACAGATTGGGTTTTCTGTAGACCCGTGGTTCTCAAACCTCTCCATGAAGTACCCCCAGTACTGCACATTTTGTATGTCTCCCTATATCTGACAAACCCACTTCAGGTCTTGCAGTCTCCACTAATGAGCTGATGAGTTGAATCAGGTGTGATAGATGAGGGAGACATACAAAATATGCAGGGCTGGGGGTACTCCAGGACAGGTTTGAGAACCACTGCTCTAGACAGATTCCTATAAAGTAGATGTAGAAAGGATACGCACTTCAGTGTTCAAACCAAAATGCTAGCAGTTGCAGTTTTTTAGAATAGGGTGGTAGTTTTCAAACATTAATGAATATTATAGAGATGCTTGGAAACTAGTTAATTTGTCTAACTGTTTCAGACAAATAGGCCTACCTAATGCTCAACAGGAGCAAGTGAATTTGTCAACAAAAAGTCATTTTACGAGAATGTACTTTTTTTTTTCATCCTCCGGTCAGTGGGGGGTTTGTTTGTTTTATGATTGTTGTCGAAATAAAGTATTTTAAATCATTTTGTTGTCTTGAAGTTTTTTTAATATTTAATATATTAAATATATATATATTTTACATTTGTGTAATGACAAACTGAATTTTATTCAGCCATTATTCCAGTCTTCTGAAATAATTCTAATATGCTATTTTGCTGCTTAAGAAACATTTCTTGTCAATACTTAATATTTGTGATGAAACTGGTATTTTTTATGATTTTTGATTAAAAGTTCAAATATACATTTACTTTTGTAACATAAATGTCTTTGTCACTTTTTCAACCAATTTAATACATCCTTGCTGAAGTTAGATTTTACAAATGATTTACTTGTATTGAAATATTTATATATTGGTATTATAATGAAAATGTGCAAAAAATAGGCCTACATAAATATAAAAACCTTTCATTTTCTGTATCCATAAACAAAAAGCAGCAAGGGCTTGGTAGCTCTCAGTTCAGTGGGTTATTGACCCATCGATGACTGTAAAAACAAGAATCACTGAGATTTCACAGCTGTGCTAATCTTCCCAGGCTCCACATAACAAACAAGTCACTCCTCAAGAACCCTTACAGAAAACAGCATTCCAACCTTCAGCCCTATCGCAACTTAAAACTGCTAGAGTTAGATACGTAATGATCACTTTGATTTCATATTCATTCAAATCATTTCTTTCAGACATAATTTAAGTCAATGTTTTCTTGAGCTTACATTCCACAGAGTGTGGAAACTTACTGAACAGCCTGAGTGTTTTAGACTCTGTCCAAAAGGCACGAAAGGTCATTATCGGGTTTATTATTGACTAGCAGCGGTAATGCTATCGGGTTAAATATTAAGACCTACTGCCAATAAAACTGAAGCTTCAAAGAGACAAAATCATTACTGCGGGAGGTATAAACCACCGCACGTTTCACACTTGAGTCATTACGGCCTGGAATATGAATCTGGATCAATCTGAAATCTTCCTTGTGTTTCTCAGCTTGTTCTGTATATGTCGTGACCTCACTAGAGTGACTCAACTTCCAGATGTTTCTACAGCCAGAAGCATACAGGAGACAAAGACCGGTTAAGCGAGATATATTAAGGTCACAATAGTCTTTTCAATGGCCTTGAGAAGGAAAATATGTTGCAAAATTTGTGTGTTAGAGGTTTACAAGATTAAGAAATAAGTGATTGATGCCACAGAATGAGTTATAGATACTGAGTCCACGCAATTTAAAATAAAGCAGTTCAATGAAAGCACAGTGCGGACAGATTCAGTCACTTATATCCTGCAATCTAAGAAAAGGTCAGCTGCACTGGTCTGGATTGCTATTTCTAACCTTAAAGTGTAAAAAGAGCAGATGGATCCAGGGTTACGAAACTACATCTGATCTGACATAGCACTGGTCTGCAGAGCTGGGCCTGTGGATCATTAGGCCAAAACATACCACACCAGTATGATACATTAAACAGATATGTGCTTCCTTGTATAGACAAATATATATAAATATACGCCTATCTAGTTATTATTGTTGTTAGCTACAATTTTCACATGACTTTTTTA